AATCAGACACAACAAGGTGAGAATTATGGTGTTAATAATTCATACTATGCTTGTTGCTTTATTAAGAACAAGATTGAAGACTAAGAACCTTTGGAAGTATTAGACATCTTAATTCACACCCTGAATGTCTCAGTGCAGTTCTTTTTTCTTCTTCTTCCTGTAGTTTGTCTATATAGAAAGAGAATCAGAAAAAAATGGAAAGCTTAAAATATAGTAGCGATTTTATATGCCTATAATATCTTGATAGCAAATAGTTCCAGTCAGAATCATTAAAGTAAAGAAGCAAAATCCTTCACATTTTCCTCCTCTTTTGTATTTGGATTACCTTTAGTTTTGAACAATCAATACCACTATGGGTCCAATAATTGATCAGACAGACATTTGGAAACCTCCCGAACTAATAAGGTTACTTGCTCGGTTCTTTAAATCCCATTTTCTACCAAACAGAAGAAAAAGAAGAAAAAAGAAAAAGAAAAAGAAAAACCATAGCCCAGGGCAGGCATTGTTAATGGATAGACAGACGGTCTGACTAACCACTTGATCTGTGAAACATGTTTCAGTGATATGTGCTTTCCTAGTTTATATTATATATTGTGACAGACCCAGACCAGCCATCTGTCACTCACTGGTGGAGGAAATACATGCTGGACACAATCATATTAGAAACAACTGGTGTCTCCCTATAAACATTTTGGTAGGAACTAGCTACTTTAAAAAGAAGTGAGAGGATTCAGGGTATAGCTCATCAAAAATAGGGGCACTACGAACACTGGGATTGCATCCTTAGAAAGACTGCCAGAGCTACCACTATAAATGCATTCCAGGATGCCTACAGAAATAAATCAGCCAGAGACGCTGACACTATATCTACACTACAGCCTGGATGAACACTCTGAGATCGATCCACGGGCATTCAATTTTCTAGTGAAGACCTGCCAAATTGACCACAGATTGCTCTCATATCGACCCTGTTGATTTACCCACAACAAAGTGGGAGAGGATAAGGGGTAGACCCTCCCAAGGCTCAGACCCAGTGGTAACTTAAGGTACATGGAATCCAGCTACATTAACCCCTTAGCTGGAGTAGCATAGCTTAAGTCCACTTTCTGCTGGGGACCAGGTCCACTGATAGGGGAGGCAAAAGGGTAAGTTGCAATTGGGACCTGGCAATCCAAATGGACCTATGGCTCTTCCGGCAACGGTAGCAGCAGGAGCTCATGGCCCTTTAAATCGCCACTGGAGCACCATAAGTGCACTCGATGTGGCTCATAAGAGTAGGGGGAAGGGATGAATTATGTTCTGGATGGCTCAGAACACCGGGATAGGGGAGTGCAGGGTGATCCAGCATCACTGGGGGGCTGGCTAGCCTGAGGCCCTGCCCCTTTCAGGAGCACAGAGTCACTCCCACACACATCTTGCCCAGGGGGCCACACAAGCTCTTCCAAAGCATAATTCAAATATAGATACATCTTCCTAGCACATTCTGGTTGTTTCCCCTACTCCTGATCCTCTAAGGATACTGATGCCCAGACCATTTCAGAAGGAGCTAGGGACCTAAATACTTTTGAGGATCTGGACCTGAATGCTCTCACATCTCACAGGAATGAATAAGTGGAGGCCATTCATGTATATCCATAAGAGATTCAATATTGTGTAGGATTAAGCCCTTGTGAGAGCTGAGCGGGAATCAGAATTTCCATTTCACACACATTTCTGCAAATCAGCATTTTTTACCATTCCAGAGACATTAAAATAAAAAAAACACCCAGAATTTCATGCAGAATCAAATCCAGTTTTTTTCCTCTTTAGATAAAAATCAAACCATTTCATTCTGATTTCACCTTTTTTTAAACATTCGTATTCTGTACCTAAAACAAGTTGAAATCATAAGACATTTCAAAGTGGAAAGATCAAAATTTTCTCTTCTGGAAAAAGTGAGATGGAATGTTCTGACCTTCTCAGAATGCTTTATTCTATTTTTCTTTTTCACAATGATGTTGTGTCAAAAATCAATACACTTCTCTGAAACATTTCACATTCAACACATCAGTATTGAAAACTTTTCCAACATATTCTATTTATATAATTTAGGCTATTAGTCCTGATGTTAACACATGAACTTTGGACAGAAACCTGTAGTACCACAAATTGCCCCAAGACTTGTCTACACTTAAAGCGGTAAAACTGAACTTCTGTAATGCTGAATGAAGATGCCACCAACTCCAGAGGGAGAGCTTTTCCTATCAACATATATGCTCTGCCTCCTTGCGAGTCAACAGATATGTTGACAGAAATAGCCCTTGGGTTGACGTAGCATTATCTACACTAGTAGATACCGATGTAGTTAGTATAACTATATCACCCAGGGTTATGTATTTTTCATGTCCTGGAACAACAGTTACACCAACATAAGTTCCTAGTGTAGACCAAGCCCCAGGATCAGATGTCCAGTCAACACTCCATGTCTCTTCATATGGGTTTTGCAAGATGTGGAGGATTTGCCCTTCAAAGTCCTCCAATTTCACTTGGAATGTTCACATTCATTTTATGGTAAATCCTGTGTTAAAAGAAAGTCACTTTTCCTTTTTTCTGCTTTGATTGCTTCATCTCATGACAGAAGTTTTCCATTCAATATTAGCTGTTACCTTACATTATCAACATATTACAAATGTCTTTTTTCCAGTTACTTTAAAAGAAACAACAGACACTACAATTTTTTCTATCGTGTTAGATACTAGATAGTTCAGTGGTCTTCTCCCTTTTTAAAAAACAATGATGCTAAAGGTTATCAGAATGAAGGCTGCATTAATTTAACACAGAATGGATGCCTGTTTGTATTTCGACCAATTTCATGCAGCGTTTTAAAATGCTAGATATAAATAATGGCCAAATCATGTTCTCCTTGACTCTTAGTTGTGTGGGAAATGAAAGGGATTCACACCGTTGGAAGAAATTAAAAGTCCTTAGGACATAAAAGGTTATACTCTATTTAAAGCACAAGAGACCTACATTCAAAATTTGATTAATTTCCTAAACCTAAGACTTTATGGATTGTTATCTTCTACATTAAACTCTGAAAAAATAAAAGGTGAACTCTCTTATTGTCCTTCAGTTGAATTATATTATCTTGATGTTGAGAAAACGTGAACTTGACGGCTCATGTTTAGATTCCTTTATTTTGCTGAGCTTTACTTTTGTAAAACTAGCACTAAAATAATTGTGTTTTCTTTACTGTGAATTTATTAATATGAATTAGCCTGTTTTGTTCTATGATATCTTGAAAGAAAAGAATGGACTTTGAGCCAGTCAGTCTGTCTGAAAATGAAATGAAGATGAATACGGCCTGATTTTTAAATTAAAATATTGCTATTTCCAATATGGTAATGCCCAGGAATTGGGGTGCAGATCTGGGTTCTAATCCCAGCTCTGTCAATGATCACCTGGGTGACCCTGGGAAAGATACCTCCCCTCTTTTTTACTCGATTTCCCCATCTTTAAAAGGGGATAATTAAATTTACCTTCTTTAAGATCTATAGATACAAACACACTATAAAATACATTGGTTATTATTGTTATTTCTATTAATAATAATGTTAAATAATTAACATCAGAAATATTATTAAGTAGTGAAACAGGACACAGAGATCCCAATCAAGATTAAGTTTGAAATCAACATTTTACTGTAAAAACCAGCAATTTAACATATACTTAGTTATATAATGTTTTGTATCTAACTTTCCATCATACTGTTGAATTCCACTATTATAATTTACAAGGGTCCATATGTTTAGCCTTTCACTTCAGATGCCCTCTGGCACACTGGTTCATTGGGTGCTGGTTTTATAGTGTCTGTCACATATATTGCTCCATCTCTCTCATACTAAAATTACATCTCAATTTTTTGGATTGATGCTTGTGTCACTGTTGATATAAACAATGTAATTTTGCTTTCAGAAATGTGAGCAAAAATAATGAATTTTTCAAAATTAAGTACATAGGTGCAGAAAATATGAATACTGGGTAAAATGTGCTGATGCATTTTTTATATATATATTTTAAAAGCAATCAAGGTATTATAGGGAAAATGTGTCTGCCTTGTGAACTTATTTACCTATAAGGAGACAGAGTGGTCTTCTGGGTAAGATATAGGCCTGGGAATCAGGAGTAAATCTAGTTTGAAAATTAACAGGAATGAATATCATAAAGTGTTCGGGGTTTTTTTATTTTTTTTACATTTCATTTTTCTCAACATTTTTTGACTAGGACTCAATTCACAGAGTCTTGGCTTCTATTTTCAACTTTCCCATTGACTTGTAACTTTTCAGCCTGAGATTCCCCAGACTCCTTACGTAAAATGGAGCATCTCCTTTTTCACATTTTGAGTCAATGAATAGAAATATTAAGTAACAGTTATGTACCTATTATTGTTTCTATATCTTATTGGAAGAGAAGACATTACTTACTGCTACACTTACCAGATTCTGGGGAGCTGATTTCTCAGCTGGTGTGGATTTATATCAGCTGAGAATTTTTTTCTGGTAGGTGTCAATACACTAAGTAATCTGTGTGTTATCTTGCACTGCACAGCCTGCTGCAGTGGATTTGCTGGCAGGCCTTCCTGTTTACAAAGGGTCCCGTGCGCTGAGGTGTTGAGTACCTTTTGTAGGCTTCTGAGCACCCTCAACTTCACTAGCAAATGAAAGTGGAGAATTTAGTCCCCACAGTCCTGAAGTGTTAAACCACCTGGCTCTCTTGGTATTGTATTAGAATTCTTAGGTATATTATGAAAAGTTTGATGTAATTTTCTGGGTAAGAATCTAAAGACGACAAGAAGCTGTGGGAATGAATATGAGTATTGTGAGGGGAAAAAAACAAAATTAAGATATCAAAAGAGAAGAAATTGAGAAGAAAAATAAATTTCTATCACTTCTTCTAGTGCTAACTAATAATGTTCCTGACTTTCCCCTTCCTAATATGTTGTCTAATCATTTTCCCTCTAGTATGCACCAGTGTAAGTGGATGTAAAATGGACCATCAGAATGGCAGCCTTTTAATACCTACTTTACAATGCCAGACAACGAAGAAGTCAGAAGTCCCCAGAACAATTTCAAAGCCCAATAAAGCATATTACCAAGTGTGATACCCAGACTCTATTATTTTTATCTATATGACCAAACAATTGCTAAATTCGCTGTGCTCAGCCATGTTTTAACATACTGTTCTGGAGTGGCCATTGTTTTGTATCCTTATGTGGAGATGCTTGCCAATGACACAATACAGGAATGCTTGTCTACTATAAATCTTGATAACTTGATTAAGCTCAAATGGATTGAAAAAAATCAGAGGCAATAAATATGGATTGCATCACTGTAAGCAGTGTCAAACAGAAAAAATATTAAAAACAGCTTTTATTAATACTAAATAGGGAATTATTTTTTAAACTATCTGTAAACTCCATCTTCATCAACAGCTTTTGAGTGTCCTACTAAAGAACTCGTTTTAGTCATAACCAAACTTATTTTGTTTTTAATGGTCAGAGGGGTAGCTGAGTTAGTCTGTAACTGGAAAAACTTAAAAAAATGAAGAGTCTTGCAGCACCTTAAAGAATAACAAAACATGTAGATGGTATCATAACCTTTAGAGTTCTTCAAGACTATCTGTTTTTTTTTAAGTTTTTTTTTTAATGTTATACTTGGTTTACAATGGCTTGATTCACATTACAGGCAAATAAAATGTAAAGGAAGAGCCTAACTGTGCTCTCATCCTCCTACTATTTTCTTTTTTAAAAGGTATGAACCATTCTACCACCTACTTAGTGGATCAAGCTCCACCTCCAAATGGCTATTTATGTAGGGATTGATGAGACAGTCTGTGTATCTCAGCTTACCAAAAGTCAGCTCATGCAAATCTGGAGGGTATCAAAGGGTACGTCTAGACTACCGCGTTTTGTCAACGGAAGTTTTGTCGACAGATACTGTCGACAAAACTTCCGTCGACAAAGAGCGTCCAGACACATTGAGTTCTGTCGACAAAGCAAGCTGCTTTGTCAACAGAACTCCGTAGTCTGGACGCAATGTTACAGGCAATAACACCTTCTGTCGACAGAGTTCTGTCGACAGAAGGTGTTATGCCTCGTAAAATGAGGTATACCAGCGTCGACAAAACTGCTGAGTTCTGTCAACGTTATGTCGACAGAACTCAGCGGTAGTGTAGATGCTGGTATAGTTTTGTCAACAAAAGTCCACTTTTGTCGACAAAACTAAGTAGTCTAGACACACCCAAAGATTTTTTGGAAACACTGAACTGCTTTGTCTAATTACACTTCTGATATCCCATTATAATACAGCTTTGGCGGTCCTGAAGTTTCAGTTTTCTGAGGTTTGAACATGTTTCTTAGAATCTGCCCCTTGCGCACGCTCACTAGACACATTGGCTTGAGTCGTTATTTAATTGAACAGTGCTTTCCACTTGTTGAAGTATGACACTCTCCGATTTTTTCCCCCTCTCTCCCTTTTTTAATGCCTAACTCATTAGATTTGTATGGAATCCCAATTTAATTGCTTTGGATGCTTTTGAGAAATGCCTGTGAAATTTATAAAGAAGCCAGCTGCATTACAGCAACTTTTTAAAAAAAGGTTCATGGACTACAGTTATAGATTGGGCATGATTATTGCAAGTGATTGACTTCATGCATTCACTGAGGCTCCTTATAGTATTAAATAGTAGATACTTGTAAGTCCAGGTGCAGTGCATTACCACCACAATTACAATATTTACAGCTCTCCCCTGCTGATTTCACAAATAGGGTCTGTCAGTCAGCCAGCCAGGCAAAGCTTTAAAGGAAACTAGCCTGGAAAATAAGCGGGGAGAAAATTGATTGAAACCACGAAGGCCTTTGATCAGATGCAGCAAGTTCATTTCTCCCTTTGTTCAGTTCCTGTTCATCTCTGTGTTGTTATAAATCAGTCTCTTGTCCCCCATTTTCTATTCCTCATCTCATCTACTTGCTGGACATTGATGTTATATTGGAGGCAATGGCTTACTTTAAGCCACATCATGCTGCTGCCTCTGTCACCCAAATCCTGCCAGCATTTCAGACACAGAGAAAAGGCCCCACATGTCTCAAACTCCATACTTCTCCCAGAGATACCAAACACTCAGACTCACTGAGCAGCCAGTCTCACAACTGCCATGGAACCAATATCCCACGTGAGTCTGAGGAACTTCTTAGCAGACCCAACTCTTTTTTTCGTGGGACCACTCTATGCAACAAAATCAGTCTGTGTCTGCTTATGGGACTGCAGACTAGGGAGTTGCTGCTCTATTTAACTGCATCAGAAACTCCCATCTCCCACCAATTGACAGGTGCTAAAGGAGGGGAGGTGCATTACTCCAACCCATTATACTCTGAATAGCTCCATGAACTCTTTAATGACCACTTTACCATAATCAGTGTGCTGATGTATTGTTACTCTGCAAATTCATCATATTATTTGTTGTATCTGTAGTTATACAAAAGCTGTAGAGAGTAGAAGATTGTAGATTATAAAGGAATTTCCTTGTTAGCAATGGTCAAAATGCAACTAACATTTTAAGCAGAAAACAAGGTAACCAAATTCACAGGAAGAAAACAATCCGATGGAAAGGTGGTCACGTCACATTTTTTATTGTCCTCCTACTCAGGTAAACACATGTAGGAGGCTTAGTTTGGTGTCCTGACTTCAAAGGGTATTAGCTGGGTGCTGAGCCCTTTTATATATCAGCCAATGCTTTGGTGCCCAACTTTAGGCTGACATTTAGGCAACCGTTTTTTTGTAATCGTTGCTAATTATTATGCCACTGAGGAGAATTTTTCTTCAGTTTCTAGTGATGCACATGTTTAATTTCTAGCTGTTAGGAGCTGGAAAAGATGGATTTGAAACCTGTCCCTGCAATAGGATCCGACTATTGCCTTTCGTGCATCTATGAATTATAGAAGGAAAAATTCCAATTTGGTACTGTGAATGGGGAAAACAACAAATTATTTCTTGGGCCAAGTTCTCTCTAGTTTACCTATTCTCTTCCCCTCTTCCACACATATACAACAGATACACAACTTTTATATAAATGTTGACATTTGCACAAGTGAATGTAGTATGTGGCATAGCAATTTTAGGTTGAAACTAAACAGTTTTGTAAGGATTTAACTCTGTTTTTTTCTAAATAGGTTTAACACTTTATAAATGAACTGCTGCAGTGATCTCTTAAACTCTTCACCTAAGTTTCATTGTTCATACTTTTGCCACTAGAAACCAATATTGTATCTCATCACAGTGATCGATTGAACTATCATCACTCTTTGACACTCAAAGCCTGTGTTTGTGGAAGTGATGAGTCAGCTTCATTGACCTGACAATGTGCAGGGTTGTAGATGCCTGTGATCTGACAAAGTTGATGACATTTCCTCATTGTAAGGTCACAACTGAGTTCAACATTAAAGATGGTTTATTTATGACATACTAGGCTACATTCCATTAACCGTCATAAAATGAAAATCAAATTCTAGTATAATAAGATTTATTTAAATGTGAGACTTCCAATATTGCGAATTCCCAAATTTAAATCGCTAGTGACAATGTATCCTATCTAGTTTGTAATAACAAAAGGCCATAACTGTTTATAAAGAAAAATGGGAATGAATTAAATGCTGCTACACTGATATAACTATGCACAAAGCCTACCACAGATAGAAAAATGCAGTCTATCTGGTCATCTGTCTTGTGCTAAAAAAGTATTTCGGTGCCTAAACCTTTTTTGTTTGGAGGGAAGGATTCTAGCTAGCCCTTGAAAATTCAAGGCTAGTTTTCCAACAAAGAGCATCAATGAAAATATTTATAAGCATCCATGATCTTGAAAAGAGAGAAAAATCTCATCAGGATAATTGTTGGGGAATATAGAACTTCCAAATGTTTAGAACAGGTGGCAAAACTATTATGGATATACAGCTGTTCTGTGCTATAAAATTCCTAGTGGAAAAACTTGAGATGATTGTTATATAAAACTACAGGGAGGGTTCATCTGTACAACCCTTTTATTAAACTACAAGCTATGCAAATTTACCATCAAGAGATACAGGCATTTGACATTTCCCTTTAAAAAAATTTTTTTTTTAAAAAAAATCACACATTAGTGGAAGTGATCTGTGTCACAAATTAGCATAATAGAAACATCACTGCAATAAAACAATGTTGATGCACTTTTGTATAATTTTACATCTTTGAAATGAATACAAACATACTTGAGTATATAATGCAATGGATAACCCACTATATCTATATCCTGTACTTCCATTTAGTGTTTAAATATTCACAAATTCTTAAAAGGCATCACATTATCCAAGAGCTAAATATTAAGATTAATATGTACTTTACATTATTATAGATAATGTTTTGTTTCGGATACCACATGAAGCTTGATTATCATCCTTGTGGGGAAAAATGAATATGTAGAAAATCTAAGCACAGTTCTATGCAGAAGGGCAGCACAGAACTCACTGTTAACATGGTTGTGTTACACAGTGTACTTCACATGCTTTATTACTCTGTAATTCTCAAATACTTTGCAGATATTAAAGAAGTAAAATCTCCCAGTAATCTGTGAAGTTATTATTATTATCCAGATAACTTATATTCAGTGAGACTACTCACATGCTTAAAGTTAAGTCTTGCTTAAATGTTTTGCTGGACTGTGGCAAAATCCTATGATACATATTTGGATGAATTGCACAGTAGTGCTTTGAAAAAGAGGTTGCCCCAAAGAGACCGTTCAGAATCTGGGTCCAATTAGCTGAGGGTGCAAGACACGTGTCCAAATTTATATTAAGACACGGTGCCAAGAAGATGCTCCTTTTCTCTCTCACATTTCTCGATATTTCACCAGCAGGAAATGATAGCTATGTGCTGGAAGGTAAGTCATGTCAAGTGAATATAATTGAGGAGAGGTTTCTAGATGATTAAATTGCCCCCCGCCCCTTTGCCTTCCCACCAACTATTCTCTTTGCCCCCATTGTGCCTCATGTGACTTTCTTCTTCTGTTCCCTTCCACTTTACACTATCTATCCTCACTGTTGATCCCTACCCGATGTGCCTTCCATCATGGCTGTCCACTTGCTGGCCATGCAGTGTTTACCATCTCCATGAAGCCGTAATGCACACA